TACTCTGTGAAATCTAAGAATTTCGATAAGATCATCTGTCAATCTTCTAAACTCTAATAATTAAAGCTCAACCTTCCCAACCTGTCCGTCCACATCTGGGAGTATCAGCTAGTGGCTGGACTGCTTCCAATGCCAGTATATCTTTCGTTAGATCAGGGGACCGAAACGGTTCATAATATTTCAGCTGTGGTCTGACTAGCGTTTTTGTATAGTTTTACTATGACGACTTTATGTTCTTTACTCCATTCCCTTTGAAATAAAGACCAACATTCCATTTGCCTCCTCTCCTACCTGCTGAATCTGTATGGTGGCTTTTTGTGATTTATTTACAAGGGCTGTCAAATCTCTATACTGTAACTGTCTACAGTCTTCCTCCATTTAAATAATATTCAGCTCCTTTATTCTTACTGCTAAAGAGCACACCACCACATTTTCTCACTTATACTCCATCTACGTAGTTTTTATCCAATTGTTTAAACTGTTTATATCCCTCTACAAACTTAGTCATCTTCATCACTTACCTTTCTACCTATTTTTGTGTCATCTGAAAAATTGGCAATAGTACATTCATTTTCCTCATCAAAGTCATCAGCGTATATTGCACCTGCACTGATTCCTGTGGCCATGATTATTGAGTGTGGGCAGGACCATGAGTAATCAAATCAGCCGTGATCTAATTGAATAGCAGAACAGTCTCGAAGGGTGAAGTGGCCAACTCCTATTCCTATTTCATGTGTTTGCATAAGAAGACTTTTCTATTCCCATTTGAGCCATGGAGCAGCTACACACAAGTGCCAGAGACAATGACGAAATTGTTTCAAGCATCTTCAACCAAATGCAACTGAGTGCACTCCCTACAGAAACATCATGAAGCATCACTGCCCAAGGTACTACTACCCGGCCACTTCAATTCACTTTGCATAATATTGAGAAGCAACATGTAAGGATTGTGAAATATCAAATAGTTTTTGACATGTATTTTGGTAGGTGTAATACTGAGACTGCTCACTCCTTGCAAGATAAGATTCTAAATGGGATGGTGATACAGTGGGATTTAGGGGTGTTAGACCAACTGGGTTGGTCTTGCAGAGCTTCTCTGTGTTGTAACCATTCTGTGTTTCTATGAGATATATCGTCATAGTGCACGGAAACAGGCCCTTTGGCCCAACTCGTCAATGCCAACTAGGTTGTCTAAACTGAACTAGCCCTATTTGCCTGTGTTTGGCTCATATCCCTCCAAACCTTTCCAATCCTTGTACTTGTCCACGTGTCTTTTAAATGTTGTAATTATACCCACCTCTACCACTTTCTCTGGTAGCTCATTCCATATACACAGCATCCTCTGATGAAAAAGTTGCCCATCATGTCTCTTTTAAATCTTTCCTCCCTCACCGTAAACCTAGGATCTCTAGTTTTTGGACACCTCTACCCTGGGGCAACAACCGTGTCTATTAATCTTTTCTATGCCCCTCATGATTTTATAAATCTTTATAAGATCACCCCGCATCTTCCATCGCTCCAGGGAAAAAGGTTCAAGTCCATGGGCTTCTCCATATAACTCAAACCTTCCAGTCTCAGTAAAATCCTTGTAAATCACTTTTGCATGTTTTCTAGTTTAATAACATCCTTCCAATGTCTTGTCCAGCTGGAATATGACATCCCAGCTCCTGTGCTCAATGCTCTGACAGATGAAGGCAGACATACCAAATGCCTTCTTCACCACCTTGTATACCTGAGATGCCACTTTCAAGAGTCTATGTACCTGCACCCCGAGGTGTCATGGCTTGACAACACTCACCAGGGTCCACCATTAAGTGTGTAAGTCCGACCCTCTTTTGTCTTATCAACATGCAACACCTCTCATTTATCTGAATTAAAATGCATCTGCCATTCCTCAGCACACTGGCCCTTTGGATCAAGGTCCTGTTATACTCTTAGATAACCTTCTTCGTTGTCCGCTGCATACCAATTTTGGTGTCATCAGCAAATTTTATTGACCATGCCTACTATTTTCTCATCCAAATCGTTTATATAAATGACGCACAACAGTACTGATTCTTGTGGCACACCACTGGTCACAAGACATCGAATCTGAAAAGGCAACCCTGTACCACCACCCTCTGTCTCATACCTTCCAGCCAATTTTGTATCCACATGGCTACCTCTCCCTGAATCCTAGGTGATCTAAGCTTTAAGCAGTTTACCATGCAGAACTTTGTCGAGCGCCTTGTTGACGTCCATATAGACAACGTCCGCTGCTCTGCCTTCATCTATCTTCTTGGTCACCTCTTCAAAAAGCTCAATCAGATTTGAGAGATTTACCATGCACAAAGCCATGCTGATTATCTTTAATCAGTCCTTGCCTTTCCAAATGCATTTTTTTTAAAAATCACTCATTGGATAAAGGTGCCACTGGCCAGGCCAGCATTTACGGCCCATCTCAGAATCTGCCACATTGCAGTGGTTCCAGAGTGTCATGTAGTCCAGGCCAGGTAACGATGGCAGTTTCCTTTTCTACAGGACGTTAGTGAACCAGATGGATTTTTCTAACAATTGATGATGGTTTCATGGTCATCTTAATTACAGATTTGTATTGAATTCAAATTCCACATCTACCTGGATCTCTGGATTAACACTCCTGAGATAATCCCACTAGGCCATCGCCTCCCAAATGCATGTAGATCCTGTCTCTCAGCATCCTTTCCAAATCTTATCCACCACTGATGCTAGGCTCACCTGTCTGTAGTTCCATGGCTTTTCCTTTCATGCGCTTAAATAATGACATAACATTAAGCCACCCTCCAGTCTTCCAGCACATCACCCATGGCTGTTGATGATACAAATATGTCTGGCAGCGGCCCAGCAGTTCCTTCCCTAGCTTCCCACAATTTCCTGGGATACACTTGATCAAGTCCTGTGGATTAATCTACCTTCATGCGTTTTAAGATCTCCGGCACTATCTCTGCTGTAATGTGAACAGTTTTTAAGACATCACTATTTATTTCCCTAGTTTCCTTGCCTTTCTCCATGGTAAATACTGACGCGAAATATTCATTTAGGATCTCACCCATCTTCTGTGGTTCCACACAAAGATAAATTTGTTGATCTTTAAGGGGCCCTATTTTATCCCTAGTTACTCTTAGCACTTAATATGTTTGTAAAATCTCTTTGGATTCTCCTTTATCCTGTCTGCCAAAGCAATCTCATCCCCTTTGTGCCCTCCTGATTTATTTAAGTATACTCCCACACCTCCTATACTCCTCAAGGGATTCACTTGATCCCACAAACATTTAAAACAAAAGTAAATGATACGGTGAGTTTGATTTTGTCAGGAACAGAATTCAGATGCTATAGGGTTATGTTAACCTTATAAAGAAACTTGGTTAGACATGCTTAGTCCTCTGTGCTCAGATCTCGTATTTATTTCTGAAAAAAAAATTATTCCAGCGTTGAGAGGATGTAGCTCTCAAGAAAGATCGAATAGTGTAGTCTATTTTCTCAATAACTGACAGAGGTGACCTGCTGGAAGCCTTCAAAATTATTAAGGGATTTGATGTACATGAAAGAGGTGTTTCTATTGATGGAAGAGTCAAAACGAAATGGACAGGTATATAAATTGGTAAATAAATTGCTGTCAATAAATCTGGCGAGGAAATCAGAGAGAAAAGCTTCTTTACTTGAGAGTATATCGAATATAGAACTGTACAGCACAGGAACGGGCCCTTTGGCCCTGTTGTGCCAAACATGACTCCAAATTAAGGTAATCCTTTCTGCCTGCCCTTGGACCATATCCTTCCATTCCTTGCATATCCATGTGCCTGTCTAAAGTGCCTTGAATGCCCCTACCATATCTGCTTCCAGCACCACCCCTGGCAGCGCGTTCCAAACTCATACCACTTCCTGTGTAAAAAAAAAAACTTGCCCCTCACGTCTCCTTTGAACTTCCCCCCACTCACCTTAAATGCATGCCTCCTTCTATTAGACATTTCAACTCTGGGAAAGAGATTCTGACCACCAACCCTCAGCCTCTGCCGCTGCAGAGAAAACAACCTGAGTTTTTCTAGCCTCGCCTTATATCTCGTACCCTCTAATCCAGGTAGCATCCTGGTAAACCTCTTCTGCACCCTCTCCAAACCTGTACATCCTTCCTGTAATGCGGCAACCAGAACTGAATGCAATACTCTAAGTGTGGCCGAACCACATTCTTATACATCTGCAACATGACAGCTTGACTCTTATACTCAGTTTCCCAACCAGTAAAGGCAAGCAAGTCATACGCCTTCCTTACCACCATATCTATTAGTGTGGCCACTTTCAGGGAGAGTATTGGGAATGTGGGACACACTGTTATCTTTAACCATTCTATGATTATATTCTATATGGAAGAAAATAACGTAGGTATATTTTAAGAGTCAGAGGAGAAAAGTAAGCATTTTTATGTTACAAACATTCACTTACACATTAATGAATAAAAGAGCATGGGGAATAGGACTAATTATATAGCTCATTCAAAGTGCCAGTTCGACACAATGAACTGAATGGCTATATTTCTGTGCTATATTTTTGTTTATTCTAGGCCAGCATTTATTGTCTACTCCTAACTGCCCTTAAGAAGGTAGCATTGAGTTGCCTTCTCAAACCATACAGCTGCAATACTCTCAAATCCTAATCAAAGCATCAAATATATTTACGTTCATCTGATTTGTGGTAAAGGAGTACAGATTACAGTCTTGATGCTATTTATCAAAAGAGGAAATTGTAAAGTGAGCCTGTCAACGGTTCTCTTACTTGTGGGTGATGAAGCTGGGGCTGATTACACACTGAAAAAAAGCAGTGAAGCAGAATTGTAGAAAAAAGATCAGGTAGTTTGAGTACTACATGATTAATGTTTTTGTAATTCACTGACAGATTGTGTTTGCTAAAAGTGTATCTCCAAAATAAATCTAATACTGTTTGACTTCTATGTCCAGAGTTATCTACTATGTGCTTTTTTTGTACAGACTCACTTTCAGTGTCCAGCAATGATGCAAGTCCCCCTGCTTCAGTGACTTCACTTCAACCCCATTCTGTGAGTACAACGCAAAGCTCACCTGGCCCGAAACGTCCTGGTAATACTCTACGGAAATGGCTCACTAGCCCTGTAAGGCGTCTAAGCAGTGGAAAAGCTGATGGCCACGTAAAGAAACTGGCTCATAAACATAAAAAAAGCAGAGATGTCCGGAAAAGTGCAGATACCGGGGCTCAAAAAGACTCTGACGAAAGTGCTGCTACACCCCAGGAAGAAACTGTGGATGAGGTCAGTAGCAGAGTACTTAAAAATATGGTTGAAACATGGCACAGTTTAAACAAGAGAAAAGCAGATATAATTTGGATATCCAAGAGCCTAAAAACAAATGAATAGTTTTCATTCAATTTTCACCTGGTTAGCAGTTAAACCAGCATATTATGAAGTTAGTTTCATAGTTATATGCTATATAAATATATTCCATAGTTTATTTTAAGAATTAGTTAAAAAATATAAAACATTACATGCAATGCGAAAATCCTGGGAGGTCTTGTGATATTACTTTTGTGCACTAATAACAACAACCCTTCTTGATATAACAGAAACACCTATCCGTTTAATAAGTTACAAAGTAGTAGAAAATTACATTAAAGGTAACAGATCTTTTTTGAGATGACAGAATGAATTGCATAAGGCCATGAATGGCATATCCAATGGTGAAAGGATTTGATGAAGTAAACTATAAAACAGGAACAATTTTAAAATGTAAGAATTGTAGAAGGGACAAAAGATTAGAGATGTAGAAAGTTTCACAGTTTTAGAATCCCAGGAGAGAATTTGTTAAAATGGCAGACTGCACGATACCTGTCAATTTCAATATCCTGGGATGCAGAAAGATGAATGAATACTTGGGATTCTTTATATTTTTAGAGGAACAGAAGAGGGAAGTTCAGAAGTGTTATCCCTTTATAATTGACAAAAATGTAAAATAGCAAATTACCTAAGAGTGCATGTACAATGCTAAAACACTTTCTGAAATATGGAAGCATTACTCAAGTACTGGACAGTCTTGGAATTCATACTCAGTTGTGCGTTGTTAAACGTAAAATAACAGATGACATATGTTCATTAGCTGTTGAGAAATGGAGATTTGAAACACGTTTATTTCACTACAATAAAAAGAGAAAATACTAGAAATACTCAGCTGCCCTGGTAGTGTTGATGGAGAGAGAAAGAACATTTAATATTTCCAGTTGTGACTTTTCATTAGAATGGTCGTCATAAGTTTTGTTTTAAAGTTCTATTGAAGGGCTTTTGAGGTGTTCATGATGTAGTGATTCACTCATTCTGTGTAAGACAAATGAGTGCCTGTGATCACTGAGTTTGTGAAATCTGGAAGAACTTGATAAATTTAGAGTGAAGTTATCAACACAATGCTAATTGTGTTGAAGACAAGTGAAACAGGTTACAAAAATGAAAGCTCCAGATTTAGTGCCAAAACGGTTTGAAGAATGAGAAACAAATTACGATGGTCATAAACAGAGATGTGATAGAATGCTTATAGTCATTGTTTGAAAGTGCATGATGCTACACCATCTTGAAAGATTTGAATTTGCCCAATGATTCAGAAAATTAAAGATCCAAACTCCAAAAATCTATCATGTGGGCAATAAAATTGCCACCAGAAAACCTTGCTGAAAACCTTACCAATGATGAGAATTTTTAAGTAATGAATTTAACTTAAATTCAATAGTGTTATAATGTTCTGATACAGGCAATAGAGCAGTAGTTACAAGTGAGAGCAGGTCACAAGAAGAGAACATAGATCAGCAATAGGAAACATCATAGAGCTGGCACGGGTTTAAGGGTATTGAGAAATAGAACAAATAACAATACGGTGCAGGAACAGGCCCTTCAGCCCTCCTGCGCTGCCACATTTTGCCCTTCCATACTAAAACTGTCTTCACTTACAGGATCCGTTTCCTTCATTCCCTCCTATTCATGTATTCATCCAGGTGCTTCTTGATTGCTGCTATTGTGTCTGCTTCCACCACCTCCTCTGGCAATGCGTTCCAAACACCCTTTGTGTGCAAAATGTACCTCGCACGTTTCTTTTACACATTACCCTTCGCACTTTGAACCCGTGTCCCCTAGTAATTGACCCCTCCACCTTGGGGGAAAAAGCCTCATACTTTCCACTCTATCCGTGCTGTTCACAATCTTTTAAACATGTATTGGGTCTCAATCATAGTCTAAAGTACAGAGGATTAAACAAATATGATTTCAATGTTACAATCCCCACAGAACCCAAAGCATAAAAGAACCAACCCACCATTTGACCCAAATGAAAAACACAAAGGACAAGATTCATGATTTAAAACTTATTTTAACAATCAAACCAAAATAAACATGAATTAATTGTTATATTATGTTCTGTCAAAACTACAAATTACACCTTAAACAGCTGACACAACGAACAGAGATCTTACAGATTTCTCAGGTTAGTCCCTTCAACCTGTATAGCGTTCATCCCAGCCATGAAGACCCCATAAAACTCTGCTCTTTCCAGGTAAAGTTTCAGTTCTTTCTTTTATGCAGGAATTAAGCCCCAAGCCCCAAGCCCTATGCAGTAATAGGTTCACCATACCAAGAGTATATTGTCCAGCATAATTGTTAGCACTGCTGCCTCACAGCACCATGGACCCAGGATTAGATTCAAGCCTCTGGTGACTGTCTGTGTGGAGTTTGCACGTTCTCCCCGTGTCTGCATGGGTTTCCTCAGGGTGCTCGTTTCCTCCCACATACCAAAGATGCGCAGGTTGATGGATTGGCCACGCTAAATTGTGTAGGGATTTGCTGGCTGGTGAATTAGCCATGAGAAATGCAGGGTTATAGGCTGAGGTGTTGGGGGTGGGGTGTCGTCTGGGTGGGATGCTCTTTGGGGGGTCACTGTGGACTTGATGGGCCGAATGGCCTGTTTCTGCACTGTAGGGATTGTTGGATCAAAAACAACACCTTTCCCAATATTTCTTAGCTCTGCTCCTGGAGGCAACCTTTTCGCTTTCTTTCTCCAGCTATGTTACAACTTTCCACTTTAGCTGCCTTGCACTTGCAGCAGCTGCACTGCCAGTAAACTACTGTTCATCTGTTGAAAAAAAGTGCTCTCCTTATTGTGATCAATGAGTGAAATTTGATTTTTTAACCTGGAATCTTTCCCAAACAGCTTCTGTTTGCCTAGCAACCAAAGCCACAGAATTTCTCTAAAGTCTGATGCCACAGCCAGAAATTTCAATTTACAACCCTTTCCTAGAAACATGGACACTTGGGGTCAGATTTCCCTTATTAGTTACAGTTTGCAGAGGTAGGAGAAATGCCAGCTTTGCAAATTCGACATTTAAAAATAGCTACCTGCATTTCCCACTTTTGGTCTACCTCAGGGAATAGTGGACTGAATTGGAAGTCAGGTAGGGCAACCTGGGAAGAGCAGAGGAGGCTGAGGTTCCTGAGGTAGAAAGCATTTCAGTGCTCTCTACACTACGTTCAAATGTTAAAAAATAAAGATTAAAACATAAAAGAAATCCCTTATACTCTTACCTCCTCATTCTCCACACCTCATCCTTGCCCAGTTGCACTTCCTAAGCCACGAACCATCACTTTAAATATTCACTGTCTTGAACACCCATACACAGTGACAGTATTGTGTACTACCTACAAGATGCACTGCAGTAACTTATCAAGCACATTCCAAATACACGACCATCTAGAAGGATAAGAGCAACAAATCCAAGGAACTATGTCATTCCTAAGTGTTGCCTAGCCAAAATCCTGGAACTGTCTCCTAACAGCACTTTGGGTGTACATACATCCCACAGAGTGCAGTGGTTCCGTAACGGAGCTCACTGACACTTTCTCCAGGGCGGTTTTGGCCTAGCCATCAGTGCTCACATTCCATGAACGAATGAAAAGTAAATGAGTTTATGCACAAGCAAGGCTACTTGTCACAATTCCAAAGAGTGTCTTACCTTTCCCAAAGCTGCTTTATTTCCACCAAAGGCACTTTACAACTCTCATAGGTGGTCAAGACCTTTTCTGTCAAAGGGGTACCCTGGCTATCCAAACAAAAACTCCTGCTATCCACGACAGGAGATGTGGCCTTACCTGGCTTAATTTCACTTTGAGGTCACACATTCCAGGTATTCCAAAATCATTTAAATGACCAACTGCCTCCAGGAGCCATGCATGCGCAAATAGTAGACCAACACTAGTCCTGCAATCTTGAAGATGAACAGGTTTGGCAGTTGGAATTCCCGACTTTGTCCTGCATTTCCACCACAGTGGGCAGGCTTCATGTCATGGTGAAAACCAGGGCTTTGACTTATGTTTCAGTTAGGGACTGACCTGACTGTAGGCAACAGATTTACCCGAGGAGGATAGTTGAGGAAGGTAACCTCATAACCTTTATAAAGTACTTGGATGAACAATTGAAGTGACATAACATTCAAAGCTATGGGCCCGGTGTGGGAGAGTGAGACTAGCGACGTGCATTTTTGGCAGAACAGACTGGATGTGCTGAAGGGCCTCTTCTATACTGTATGATGCTATTTCTATTAAAACCTGTTTTTAAAAAAAGTATTTACCCAAAGTAAAATGAACTATATTCATTTCAGAAGATTAAGAAAAACAAAGTTGGCCAGAAGTTATTGATTTTAAAAAACTGCAATAAACAAATATGTAGTGTCATTTCATTAGTGAAGCCTGGTCTGAAATTATTAATGAAGTTTCTATCCCAACAAAGAAATTGGAAAATGCCTGCAGCAACAGATCGAGCTCAAACAATGCAAGTTATTTGTGGTTTGTAAATGACCTTTTTTGCAGGACTGTTTTTATTCTTAGTATTGAAAACAAAACTAGGTTTGCAGTCGTGACCTGAGATTTTATTTGCATTGTCTTTTTCTTTCTCAGCGGGGACGGAATGAAGGACTTAGCAGTGGAACACTGTCAAAATCCTCATCGTCAGGAATGCAGAGCTGTGGGGAAGAGGAAGGTGAAGAGGGGGCAGACGCAGTGCCACTTCCTCCTCCAATGGCAATTCAACAACACAGTCTTCTCCAGCCTGACTCACAGGATGATAAGGTAAGATATCACCATCACATCCTCCATATGTAACAAATGAAAGATAAGTAGAAACAGTTCTAAGGTAATATTTGTCAGACATTACTTTTTTTATAAAAAAGCCAAGCTTGTAAATGTAATTGTTGATTTCTAAAAATTTTCCTAATGTTTATTTTCTTGTAAAACAATTAGTGAAGTAAGTTAGATTCCTGATGTATTAACTTTAACAATGCAGGTAAGATCAGTAAAGAAACAGTTTTGTTTTCTTTTGCCTCTGTAAAAAAAAAATGGAAATCTGGTTTGTATTAGGATAAATTTCCCTTTAATATTATAATTGTCAAATTTTTGACCATATAATGCATGTATAAATGGCGACTACTCAGTGTTAAGACTGATGTTATACAATGAAAGATAAATTGTTTTCATTGTATTTAAAATTGACATCTACATCAGTAGCTTTGACATACATTGCTAGATGTTTCCTAACTAGTTATCCTAGTCTGTTTATTGCTTCTCAGGGATTTTTGATTACTGAATAATAATTATTATGTAGAGTATCACATGTAGTTTGTTCTCTATGTGAAATGATAACTTATATGCTATAACTAATTTACTTTGTTTTCTCTTGTTAAATGTCTTCTTGTCACAGCATTACGTTGATTTATGTTCTGTCTCTGTATTTTCTCGGTTTCCTTATCTTTCTATTTAATTCATTATACTACCCCAGTCTTAGTCCTTCTGTTATTTAATTGCTTTTGTTGTTTCTACACCATATTGGACAAAATTTGTGTGAAGCTTGCTTTGTTGCAAGGTTCAACTTAACCATGTCAGTCTTTTTTCTCAACCTCCTGTGTCACAAATATCTTCCCTTTTCTATTAGAAGTCAGTATGTGGAAATCTAGTCTTTTGTGCACTTATTGGTACATGAAACCCATAAAGGACATGTACTTGTATTTTATTCTGATTGGCTAACTGTCCCTACCCAAAATTCCTTATTGTTGGTTCCCACAATATTGTATCAACTGCATGCAATCCATACAACTAGACATAAGTTGACGTCAGATTGCTTTTGAGGCCAGAGATCTCCTAAATTCCTGCAGCCCTGGTTTGGAAACAAATCCATGCATCCGAATATACTTAGAGGATACCTCAGAAATGGTGAGACTTGACCCCTTTAAAAAAAGTAAAACTCAGTAAATGTATTCTAGAAATGCCTGGATACTCTGCATAAATGATTATATATTGTATTTTTGTAGTGCTGTTAATTTTTGCTATCAACACTGGAGTTCCCAGAAAGTCACATTATTCTGTCAATGAGCATTCTTCACATCTTCTTTCTCAGACATCGTCTCGTTTATCAGTCCGCCCTACAAGCTCAGAGACACCCAGCGCAGCAGAGCTTGTTAGTGCTATTGAAGAACTTGTGAAAAGTAAAATGGTAAGAGATATGTCATAGAGATGTGCAGCGCAGAGAAAGGCCTTTTTGTCCGTTGTGTATCCCACTCCGGTGAAAAACAACTGCCTGACAGTTCTCATCCCATTTTCCAGCAGTTGGCTCATATCCTTGTATGTATTGACATTGCAAGTACACATCTAAATACACATTAAATGTGATGAGGGTCATGGACCCCAACAAAAATCAACATGATAATTGATTGTCACTGTTAAAACTCAGACTCTTGTTTCGACTCAGTGAGGTAGCACATTGGAAATTGAGCCCACTATTCCCAGACTCATCACATAAGTTAAAGATGTTACAAAATAAGCTAAGTTCCCCAATTTATCTTTCAGACCCAAGTTTATTGAAAGCAAGAATTACTGTTTATTATAAGTAATTAGATTCTAGCTACAGGTAAACAGTTATAAAACTTTGGCATACAACATTACAAATTAAAACTCTAATCCCCTTGGAAATTCCCATTACAGATGCACAGATAGACGTACAGACAAGGTAAAATAGATAATGGATAGAGGGGAAAAGTTATTAAGATAATTCAGTAGTCTTTATTCCCAGGCTCTTTTGCTGAGATGATTCTTCTGCTAGTCAGCAAGTTGCTTCAGTCGTCTTTCTCCAAACGCTTCCATTGGTTGCTAAGAGCCACAAGGTGGCCACTTCACTCATAAAAAATGTCTCTGACTTATCAGTTAAAAGTTACGGTTTGCAACACCTATGACAGGAAAGAAAAACTGGTTTCCTTCAGGTTTACAGTGAGTTTTGACTGCAGGCAATAGCAAGACTGCTCCTGAGTTGATGAGAACTGAACACCCCTTCTCTGTAATTTGTTCCCAATTCCAAGCACTTCAGTTACCTGAGAACCAATCACACAGTTGTTGACAGGCAAAAAGTCTTGGTCATTGATAATTGGTCACTCACGCATATCTCAATCAACTTTCTGTTGCCAACAAAAGCTGCATCTGCACACTATCTCAGCTCCAATTTGTCTGCAACTTGAATTTCAATTACTGCTTAATAAATGATTATTTGCACAATGTCTGCCATAGGTGTCAGGTTATTTGCTCTCAAAACATACAACTGCCCTTTCAAACACTGGTTTAAAAACTTTATCATTTCAGTTCACTTTTTTTTAAATACAAAATTATAAAGATGCATTCCTTACACCCTTCAAATTCAAACACTTTGTTACCTTTCAATATTATCTTTGAACACTTAGTGCTACAATTTATATGATATTTTGTTTTGTAAATGTACAAAACGTGGTCTAAACTTTGCTATTCTACATTTATATTTAATGAGATATTTTAGTGTTTCTTAAAATGCAGATTCCTAGCTGGAAATAAAATACTTTCCAATGATTAGCAACTACTGTCTGATCCAGATTAGCCAGTTGCAAGAAAATATCCCACTGTTCTGCTCCAATAACGTCCCTCAGCTTCATCTTCTCAAGATTCTGTTATGTTGTTATGAATTTTGTATTGCTCTTATCTCCTTCCTTCATAATTCCAAGTGTGATTGCTAATTTTCATCAATTTCTTCCACATTATAAGCACTTTAATACAGTGGTTTATGGACCACAAGATGTGTTGGAAGTGACTTTTATCTTAATAATCAAGATTGTAATTAAACTTGGGTCTGAGTTATGAAGGAGTATCAAGTGTGAAATTCAACGTTATCCATTAACAAATGATTCTTTGTGGCTGAGTCAAAATACTGCATCTCCCTAGATAATAGCTTTATGGGAATACCTTCATCATAGGAGCAGGTTAAGAAGGAGGCCCGCCATATTGTGCATAAGAGTATTTGCGATGGGCGTTAAATATGTCTTTTCTGGTAGTAGCCACATTCCAAAGAACTATATTTTGCAAATTTAACATGGCGAATTCAACAATTCAGTAAATTGGTTACATGGAGACGGTAACATAGTGTATTGTCACTGGACTAATATTCAAAAGGCTACTGTTCTGGAAACATGGATAAAAATACCACTTCTGGTGGCAATTAAATGCAGGTAATAAATTTGGAATAGTCTCAGTGGTGGTGACCTTGATATTTATTGTTAATTTTTGTAAACATCCATTTGATTCAATCATGACCTTTTAAGGACAGAAATCCTCCCCCACTTCCTGACCCACTCTAACTTGCATATGATCAGCATTCCCTTCATTTTTTATTCCATTTGCACAATGCTCCAAGGCCTGTGGACAGCAGCAACTTCTAGAACCAGAAGTCAATGCTGCGATCAGTGTGCTGATGCCAGTCACCTTGCATAGAACATTGGAGTAGCTCCTTAGAGAGAATATTGCATGCAATTGTATAGTCATGTTAGTGTTGTTGATGTTTAACTGCCCTTTGCAATGGCCTAGAAAGCAACTCCGTTCAAGGGAAATTAGGGATGGACAATAAACACATTGGCCATGGTAGTGACACCAATATTCCATAAAAGAATTTTTTACAAATTGAATTAAGCTTCTTATACCTTTTTTCTTTAATTAGTGTTCCATATGTTCAGCAACTAAAAATATTCAATACCTTTTCCCTTCATCCACCCCAAAAAAAAAATACAGGCATTGGAGGATCGTCCAACATCCCTGTCTGTTGATCAAGTTGACAGCAGCAGTCCGTCTTTCAACCCATCTGATAACTCTCTGCTGTGTACTTCTTCCTCCTCTCCCATTGATGAAATGGAAGAAAGAAAATCTAGTTCCTTAAAGAGGCGTCAGTAAGTCTTTTGTGGATTTAACAATAATTTTTTTAATCTTGATGTGAGAAATGCATTTCAAGGAGATTAGTTTCAGATTATAAAACAAACAGTGATGATTTGGCAATCTCCAGTATGTTTCATTATCGATTGAAGCATAAATGAAGCATTAAACAAACCTTTGTGATACTGGCTACATTTGAAATGGTTCCAGTGACGATTCATACTAAAAAGCAATTCTTAATTTTTATCATGTTTTAATTTTATGGCCTCCGTTTAATGCTGTGTAAAACCACTAAATACTATCTACTTGCAACTTCTTAAAATATTGGTTCGGATCTTATACTTAGTGATAATCACAGTTTGCTGCTCCACGTTTGCTGCAGCATAACACAGCTCCACATTTCTGTTTGAGTTTTCCAGTCCTGGCCTCTTCAGAAATGTGGAGCACATCCTCAGTCAGGGAGTTTTCGTCAAAGTGTTGGAGCATTTGGGGTGGGTGGACAAGGCAAACCTCTTTTTATAGTACTAACTGCCTTAAGGTAAGATTAAATGTTCAGCATGAAATTAGTGAATGGTTCAAAGCTCATCTGAAATACTTCAGGATGTGGATTAGAACCAGTAATCAGATCAGTTGTGATTTTATTAAATGGCTGGAAGCTTGAGAAACTGATGGCAGGTGAGTGTGATAAGTGGGTAGGACAGCAGGTGGGTGAGGTGGCATGTGGTTAATAAGGTTTGGGGAGGAGTTGTCAGGTTGAGTGAAAAATGGTAGACAGTGCTGGGTGCTCATTAGGTTTGATTATGGAGATGACCAGGTTGGGTTGGGGTAATCAGGGAGTCAAGGATGGAGTTGAGGATTGTGTGAGAAATTGTCAGAGTGGTCAGCATTATAGTTACCCAGCAGTTAATACTAAGAATATTTCTGCCCAGCAGTTCCTGGGCAGCTATCTAGCCAAGTGCTGCAGAACTGCCCTGAATCTCTAATTCAAATTTGGAAACTTTTTCAAAGGATCCCAGGAAGAAGAGATATTGTCCATTGCGAGTTTAGAATTATGGGTAATTCCCACAGAGTCAGTGCATCAGGATTTCCCCAATGATTAAATTCACATGCATCTTGGTTGTACAACTGGCCTCCAATGATCTGGAGACCAGAAGATTGGAGCCATTATCTTAATCTAAAATTGAATGCTTTTTGCTATTACTTAATTTCTTCTCTGAAATGGTAGTGAATCTGTGGAATTCTTTCCCGCTGTAAAGGTTGGGTAATTATGTAAAATCAAGGTCGAGGCAGATTTTTAATCAGTAAGGGAATTGAGGGTTATGAGGAAAAGGCAGGCAAGTGGAATTGGGAATGATCAAATCAGGCTTGATCTCATTGGACCAAATGATCTACTTCTCATGTGTCTTAAGTACTTATTGTATATGAAGTAGATTGATATATTTGATGTGAGGTAGCAATGTTATATAATGGTTATTTTTATGATCACCTTATTTTGGTCCTCTAGTTATGTCTTACAGGAGTTGGTGGAAACTGAGCGGGATTATGTACGGGACTTAGGATGCGTGGTAGAGGTAAGTTTGCATATGATTTGTGCATTTCAACTGTTTCATATGACTGAAGAACTATGATGTCTATTCTTTAAAAGCAACAGATAGCGTAATTATAGAGCATGTCTGGCATGAGCTCCATGGTGAAAATTTCAAGTTATCAAGGAGGCAGACATGGAGTACAACATGACTAATTTACAATAGCATGATCTTGTGCGCATCAACTTAATTGAACCTACCTCCCAGGGGCTTTGTTACACAGCAGCAATGGTATTACTGCATCTGATGCAAGTTCACCTATCTATTTCTATTTGAACAGATAAAGTTTCATTTCATGCTTCTAGTAATAAACAACAGACAGGAACATCTGCCCTTTTTTAACCAATATTGCACCTCACTTTCAACTCAATCATATGCAGGCCGTTAGTTAGCTTCATCTTTGTATTAATTCGTCAACAGTGGCAAAGATGTATTGTCCCATCAGTATAAAAACAGCAGTGGTAGTCAGTGCTGGGAGTTCATCAGATTTGATTATGGAGGTGACCAGGTTGAGTCAGGGATGGTCAGGGAGTTGAGGATTGTGTGAGAGATTAGTGGGGGAGATCAGCATTGTAGTTACCCAGCAGTTAAGATTAGGAATATTTTTTGTCTGGCACTTCCTGGGTAGTTATCTAGCTAACTGCTGCAGAACTGTCTTGAGTCTCTGACTCTAACTCTGAGTTGAAGACTTTTTCAGAGGGTCCAAGGAAGGAGAAAAATTGCCCATTGGGAGTTCAAAAATTCCAGGTAATCACCAATTCAGTTTTTCAGTCGCACAGCAATGCAAATGTGAATGTCATTGTTCTTTTCCATTGCAATTGAATGCATAAGCTTGTATCTCCTTGAATCCAAAAGTTTAAAAGAACAAAGAGTGTTAATTTAGGCAATGGTTTCTCTCTTCAGGGCTACATAACAGTGATGAAAGAAGATGGTGTTCCTGATGACATGAAGGGAAAAGATAAGATTGTGTTTGGTAACATACACCAAATCTACGATTGGCATAGAGAGTATGTAGACTTACTTGTTTTCAGTTTTTGATGCTTATCATTGTGAACAAAAAAGAACTTTGTCAATATATGCTGTTGTTGGCAGAATTAAACACTTGTATATCAAACCATATGAACAAACGTGCCTCAGAACATACAAATGAGGAGGAGGAGTAGGTCACTCCACTTCAAAGACGCTGCTACCAGCATCTTTGAGGAAGAGGGTTCCAAATACATGCAACCCTCTTAGAAAAATTCTCGTAATTTTCTTTATAAAATGGACGACCCCTTATTTTTAAATAAAATTTCCAAATATCAGTCAGGTAAATCTGTGAACTTCCAACATCCCTCCTTAAATAACAAAAATAGAACAAAACGCAGTAGTCTAGATGCAATCCCATCATAAGACTTTAAGATATAGGAGCAGAATTAGGCCCATCAAGTTTGCTGTGCCATTCAATCATGACTGATATGTTTCTCAACCCCATTCTCATGCCTTCTCCCCATTACCCTTGATCCCCTTATCAATCAAGAACTTATCTATCTCTGTCTTAAATGCACTCAATGACTTGGCCTCCACAGCCTTCTGTGGAAATGAGTTCCATAGATTAAGCACCCTCTGGCTGAAGAAACATCTCCTCATCTCAGTTCTATAGGTCATCCCTTCACTGTGAGACTGTGCCCTTGGGTTCTAGCCTCTCTTACTAGTGGAAACATCTTCTCCACATCCACTCTATTCAGTTGTCTTAGTATTCTGTAAGTTTCAATCAGATCCCCCTCATCCTTCTAAACTCCTTTGAATACAGGCCCAGAGTCCTGAACTGCTCCAGTCATGACAAGCCCTTCATCCCTGGAATCATTCTTGTAAACTTTCTCTGGACCTACTGCAATGCCAGCACATCCTTCCTTAGATATGGGGCCCAAAACTGCTCTCGGTATTCCAAATGCGGACTGACAAGAGCCTATACAGCCTCAACAGTACATCTCTTCTCTTTTATTCTAGCCCTCTTGAAATGAATGCTAACTTTGCATTTGACTTCCTAACTGCCAACTGAGCCTGCATGTTAATCTTAAGAGAGTCCTGAACTAGGACACTAAGTCCCATGTGCTTCAGAATTCCGAAGCGTTTCCCCATTTAATAAATAGTCTACACAACTATTCTTCCTATTAAAGTCCATGAAAAAAGCATCGTTCAAAGTTTGAAGCAACATCTGATGCCTTGGCACAGTTTTTTTTTAATATTCACACTTTCCCACATTGTATTCCATCTGCCAATTCTTTGATACTTGCCTAACATGTTAAAGTCCTTTTGTAGGCTCTCTGCTTCCTCAATGCTACCTACCTCTCCACCTGGCCAGCCAGTGAAGGACTTCTTGTTGAGTCATTTAGCCATTTAAATCTCATATTAGTTGTAATTTAGTCATCATTGGGTCAAAATCCTGGAATTTACTCCCTAATAGCATTAAGAGTCTACATACTGCGCATGGACTGCAGTGGTTCAAGAAGGCAGCTCCCCACCACCTTCTCATGGGCAACTTTGGATGGGCAATAAATGCTGGCCCAGCCAGGATATTTAGAAAAACACCTGTGCCAAGCAATCAAATTTTGCTGTTCAGCACTTCAAACTTTGAACAGTTCTTTTTTCATAGACTTTAGCAGCAAGTCAAAGTCCTCTAGGAAGGTTTGGAATGTTTTGGATCACTTCATGTATGCCTTAATGTCCAGCTTTCCAGAACATGTAAAGTTCCTTCCATGCCTAAGGGAGCATTTGGTTAAAATTCAGATTTGGATGAAGTTTTAATCCAGAGAGGAGCTTGTCCTAGTTGTCTCTTCCAGTAACACTGTTGATAAACTTCATGCTAGAGCTATTTCTGAGCACATTGCACACCTGGAATGTTATTTCAAAGGATAACTATGCTACGCTTTAATATCATGACAACTAACATCAGCAAAATGATGCAACTAAGACCATTCAATCATGTCACATAGCACTGATTGTCACAGTAGATATCCTCAATGAAACAAACACTTACTCATTAACAACATAACTTTCCTCCATGAGTGTTAAATCTTAAAGTGGCAAGAAAAATACCTTATGGTGATTTATAGTGCTGAAGGCCCACTATGTCTTTGCCAGGCCAATACTGAAATAATCTAAAACTAATCTTAACTGTTTCACATTTCCTTTAGCCTTGTCTCTGCCCTGGTTCCTTGTGGTCAAATATTCCATATTCACACGTCTATCAAGGTCGAGAAATTTCATGTAAATTTGACCGTTCTTCATTCCTTGTAAATTTTAAAAAATCAGTTATTACTGCTGTTTAATAGAAGAACTAGTCTTTCCTCAATTATTCCATCACAAAATCTTTCTGTAAGAATGTAATTTCTGATGGTTAGTTGTAGCAGTAAGGACAACCAAGTTATGAAACTAAGAGGCACCATAATCTGCCGGAAAGTGGTTTCTCCCCACCTTATTATTAACCTGATCTAAGTGGAACATCTGTCAATCACCTTCAGAATTCCTGAAGTTTATAATTTGATTCTGTGAACTGCTTAGCCTTCTGGTACTATCATAGACCATTGCTGGCTGTCCATTCAACTGCCTCATCTTAGGTTCTGGAATTCTCTTCATGAACTGTCTGCCTAGCCACCTTTTTTGCATCCTCTTGGATGCTCGTCAAAATGCTGCTTTTACCATGCATTTGGCCACCTATTTTAACAATTCCTTCTGTGGAATTTTGTTTAGTAATCACTTCCATAAGTTGTTGAGTCATTTTACTCATTTAAAGTTGCTATCATAGATCATAGACTAATATCATAGAATTCCTACAGTGTGGAAACAGGTCCTTCGGCCCAACAAGTCCACACCAACCCTTGGAACGTCCCACCCGGACCCATCCCCCTAAGCTATATATCCCTGAACACTATGGGCAATTCAGCATGGCCAATCCACCTAACTTGCACATCTTTGGACTGTGGGAGGAAACCAGAGCACCCAGAGGAAACCCACGCAGACACAGGGAGAATGTGCAAACTCCACACAGACAGTCGCCCGAGGGTGGAATCGAACCCGGGTCCCTGGCGCTGTGAGGCAGCAGTGCTAACCACTGAGCCACTGTGCCGCCCTGCTATATTAATGTTGTTGTAGTTAAAACCTAACATGGTGCAGTATTTCCCAGAGCATCTGATTCTTTTGTCTCTTGAGAAAACTGTTCTAACCAAAAAGGATTTCCTTCATTCTGTGGTGTATACAGTCTTCAAAAGCTTCTATATTAAAATGAACTGTGCCAAAAGGGAAATAAATTGCATTTTGATATCAAAAACGTAACTACATTATGTGGGCCCAGATTTTGTAATCTGCAAATGAACATTTGCCATTCAACTTGCATTTACGCTCAAATTTTTAGTGGGCTTAAATGAGAAAGTTGTGCTAGTTAGAGAATCTTTTCAGTATGCCTCCTGCTACTGGAGATCTGGGATCTCTGTGAACAGGACAAGTAAAGCTGTATTCCTTTTACCGATCAGAAACATGCTGAACCTAAAACAGGAAATAGAAGTTAGAAATAACACAGTGTGGAGCTGGAGGAACACAGCAGGCCAGGCAGCATCAGAGGAGCAGGAAAGTTGACGTTTCGGGTCGGGATGAACACAAAGGAATAAGGAACTAACCAACAGAGACAAAAGAGGCTAAAAACCTTTTTGAATACATTTTTTAACTATTTTAAAATAAGTAAAAACTGAAGGATTGATGTTTCACACATGCAAATATACACATTCAGTGCTAATGAGATAGTAGTGGAAGTAAGTGAGATTTTGCTAGCCATTCAAAATTCACTTGCACTTAAATGGACATAAGCTAACTTTCTGACATGTTGTTTGGTGACAGTAGGAAAAGGACTACCTTTCATGGGTTTAAAAGCGGTGTTGGTGATTTACTACTACAGGAAAGTATTTTGAAAAAGCGCAGAAAATTATAAAGCAACTTATTAATTTCTGCCCTTGCTGGCAGGTTTGAAAGTGGAGTGAACTCATTAACTTCAGCAAACAAGCTTCCCACTGCCAAACTTGCTATCCCTGCCCTTGATGTGGAGGTGCCAGTGTTGGACTGGGGTGGACCAAGTCAGAAGTCACATGACACCAGGTTATAGTCCAACAGGTTTGTTTGAAATCACAAGCTGTTTGAATATAACTTGGTGTCAGAGTCATAGAGTAATACAGCATGGAAACGGGCCCTTCGGCCCAAACTGGTCCATGCTGACCATGGTGCTCACTCAGATAGCTCTAATTGCCCACATTTGGTCCATATCCTTCTAAACCCTTCTCATCCATATACCTATCCAAATGTTTTTTAAATGTTACTGTTGTACCTGCCTCAACCACATTCTCTGGCAGCCCATTCCATATACACACCACTCTCTGTGTGAAGAAGTTGCCCCTCAAGTTCTCCTTAAATCTTTCCCCTCTCACCTTAAACCTATAGTATGCACTCATCCTGTCTATGTCCCTCATGATTTTATACACCTCAATTAGGACACCCCACATTCTCGTGCATTCCAAGGAATAAAGTCCTATCCTGGCCAACCTATCCCAGTAACTCAGGCCTACTAGTCCTGGCAACTTCCTTGTAAATCTTCTTTGCACACTTTCCAGTTTAACTATGTCTTCCCTTTAACAGGATGACCAAAACTGTACACAATACTCTATGTGTGGCCTCACCAATGACTTATACAAGTCCCAACTCCTGTACTCAATGCCTCGACCAATGAAGACCAGTATGCTAAATGCCTTCTTCACCATCCTGCCCATCTGTGATGCCACTTTCAATGAACTATGTACTTGTACTTCTAGGTTCCTTTGTTCCACAACAATCCTCAAGACCTTACCATTTACTGCATAAGTCCTACCTGGTTTGACTTTCCAAAGTGGAACACCTCACGCTTACCTGTGTCATGTGACTTCTGACTTTATCCCTGCTCTCAACACAGTTTTGTCAACGGCAGAAATGGCATCAGTTAGCCAAC